GAAGCGTGTGAGGGGTGTGCCGAAATGGGTGTGGGTGACGCATGCGGGCGCGGGCACTGGGGCCTTCGGTGGAGCTCCCTATGGAGCCACGAAACGTGTGAGGGGTGTGCCGAAATGGGTGTGGGTGACGCATGCGGGCGCGGGCACTGGGGCCTTCGGTGGAGCTCCCTATGGAGCCACGAAGCGTGTGAGGGGTGTGCCGACATGGGTGTGGCTGACGCATGCGGGCGCGGGCACTGGGGCCTTCGGTGGAGCTCCCTATGGCCACGAAGCGTGTGAGGGGTGTGCCGAAATGGGTGTGGCTGACGCATGCGGGCCGCAGCACTGGGGCCTTCGGCGGAGCTCCTAAAACGTGTGAGGGGTGCCGAATGGATGTGGGTGACGCAAATGGGGCCTTCGGTGGAGTCCCTATGGAGCCACGAAACGTGTGAGGGGTGTGCCGAAATGGGTGTGGGTGACGCATGGGGCGCGGGCACTGGGGCCTTCGGTGGAGCTCCCTATGGAGCCACGAAACGTGTGAGGGGTGTGCCGAAATGGGTGTGGGTGACGCATGCGGGCGCGGGCACTGGGGCCTTCGGTGGAGCTCCCTATGGAGCCACGGAACGTGTGAGGGGTGTGCCGAAATGGGTGTGGGTGACGCATGCGGGCGCGGGCACTGGGGCCTTCGGTGGAGCTCCCTATGGAGCCACGAAACGTGTGAGGGGTGTGCCGAAATGGGTGTGGGTGACGCATGCGGGCGCGGGCACTGGGGCCTTCGGTGGAGCTCCCTATGGAGCCACGAAACGTGTGAGGGGTGTGCCGAAATGGGTGTGGGTGACGCATGCGGGCGCGGGCACTGGGGCCTTCGGTGGAGCTCCCTATGGAGCCACGAAACGTGTGAGGGGTGTGCCGAAATGGGTGTGGGTGACGCATGCGGGCGCGGGCACTGGGGCCTTCGGTGGAGCTCCCTATGGAGCCACGAAACGGTGTACTGGGTGGGTGAAGAGGAGAGGAGGAGAGGAGGGGAGGAGAGGAGGAGAGGAGAGGAGAGGAGAGGAGAGGCGAGGAGAGGAGAGGAGAGGAACGCGGGGCACCGTCTCTTCAAAACGAGGACCCAACACCACAGGATGGTTGGGAAAAAGGCTTCTCAGAAGGCGCGGCGATTTCTGAGAAGTGCCGCCGCCTTCTCAGAAGGCCTTCTCCTTCTCACTCCCCCCCCTCGCTCGCCGCCGACACTAAACGTGCCGCAAGGTCGCGCATTGGCAATACGATACTCCCCTCGCTGTGAACGCACATACTATAACATGACTGGTGCACGCAAACCCGTCCTATCACATCCTGCACACGTGCACCAGGAGGAGCACACTGACTTGCCACTCGCGCGAATTCGGTTTTTTGGGGGCCGTAACATCAGCCTCTGGCGGCCCCTCGGGGCGATCCAGGCACCCCGGAACGCCCTCGCGCGAGGCGCACCTGCTGGCAAGCATCCCGAGGCTGGAAGTCCGTCGAGAACCCACGAAGACATCCGAAAACCTCGAATCTCGAACCTCGAACCTCCCCCCCCTCGCTCGCCGCCGACGAGCACCTCGAAATAAGGTGCCTTGATTACGAGATAGCGATGTATGTGTTCCTCCTCCTCCTCCTCCTCCTCCTTCTCCTCCTCCTCCTCTTCCTCCTCCTCCTCCACCTCCGCCTCCTCGTGCTTCTCCGCCTCCTCCTCCTCCTCCGCTGCCTCCTCCTCCTCCTCTTCATCATGATCATGATCATGATCATGATCATGATCATGATGATCATGATGATCATGATGATCATGATGATGATCATGATGATCATGATCATGATCATGATCATGATCATCATCATCATCATCATCATCATCATCATCATCCTCCTCCTCCTCCTCCTCCTCCTCCTCCTCCTCCTCCTCCTCCTCCTCCTCCTCCTCCTCCTCCTCCTCCTCCCCTCCTCCTCCTCCTCCTCCTCCTCCCCTCCCCCTCCCCTTCTCCTCCTCCTCCTCCTCTCCGCCTCCTCCGCCTCCTCCCCCCCTCCCCCCCTCCTCCTCCTCCCCCTCCTTCTCCGCCTCCTCGTCCTCGTCCTCCTCCTCCTCATCCTCCTCCGCCTCCTCCTCCTCCTCCTCCTCCTCCTCTCCTCTCCCCCTCCTCCTCCCCCCCCTGCTCCTCCCCCCCTCCGCCGACTCAACGCGTGTACAGTGCAACATGCGTGCTGCTGCCACGGCCCTCCATTGGGCCTCTGAGGCAAATGGCTGCGGACTGGGGAAGCGCTGCTACTGCTAAACCGTCTCTCCCGCCGATGCTAAAACTGTGTGTGTGTGTTGTGTGTGTGCGCAATATTCTTGCCAGAAACGGAGTTCAGACGGAATTCAGGGACGTCGTCGCATCTTTTCTCGGGCCGCGCGACTGGAGGGGGCATAGTAAAGGGCAGGGTCCAGGATTTGTTAAATTGAGGCTGGTGCGACCATTTTTTTAGCTAATGGTAGCATTAAGTCGGGCCTGTCCCCACACAGGGGGATGTTGGACAAAAAATTAAAAATGGTCAATACATACAGTGAAATATTCAAAAATGGTAAACACATCGTCCCCAGACTATTGTTTGACTATTTTTGAATCTGCCTCCTGTAGAGGGACAGGCCCGACTTAATGGTAGCACCAGTGTGGTGGCAGCCTTAATCAGGCGTTCCGCCTTCGCGCCCCTGGCCAACTATACGGAGCTGATCCGGCGGGGAAACTAGCTACATACAGCTAGTGTTAGGTCGGGCCTGTCCCCCTACAGGGGGATTTTGGAGGAAAAACGAAAACTGTTCAAAAAATGCTCGACCAATGCTCCAAAATGGTCAAAAAATAGTCACCATACTATGTTTTACTATTTTTGAATATTCCCCCTGTAGAGGGACATGCCCGACTTAAAGCTAGTTCGGCACGAAACTAGCTGTATGCACCTGGCCTAGCGCGCGAGCTAGCTCCACGCAGCTAGTTTGGTGCCTGAACCTGCTGCACGTGACCATCATTATTCAACGAACACCTCGACGTAACAACGCCGAAAAGCTTCACATATGAAAGCATCAATCGAATAATATTAGGAAGAAGCCGCTGTAGCTGGCTTGCCGCGAGAACTTGCTGCACCAAGCTGGGCGGCATCGTTCATCGCGGGCCACCCGCTGACCTAAGATAACGCCCAGCAGGGTGCAGCAAGCGTCGCGCCTGCCCGAGCTCCAGACGTCGCATTTGTGCCTTCGCCCGCACACGCCCGGGGGAAGGACGCGAAGGCAGAGGGCTGGAGTTGAGCAGGGGGGGCGGGGCGGAGGGAGCATCGGCGCTCCTGGGGCAACGAGCGCAGCTCCGCTGCGCGGCGTGACGCACCAGCAGCAGGAATGTAAATTCCGACCCCCCACGTTGGCTCCCCCCCCTGTCGCGCGACCCGATGAGATGACCACTGGGATTGCTCAGCGGAAACTGACGTGCCGGAGTATCTGGCCTGACCCAGCTCATAAGTGGGTAGCAAGCGCCCTAATGGGCTGAGGGGCTCAGATGACTCTGCCAAGTGACGGGAGCACACTTGGCCCAGGTCGGCAAGCCCCTGAACCACCTAGGGCAACCGTACCCCCATGTAATCGAGGTCCGGCCAGAGATAAACCACCTTAGAATCCGCTTCCAAGCCCGCCATCCCCCTAGAAGCCCAGGCTGCCATCCCAGAGGGAAGGGCCTACACGCAACAGTGACCTTGGGCACGAGTGACCAGCAGAGCGCGGCCTCCGGGGGCCGCGGGGGGGCCAGATCCAGGCGAGGAGGGCAGTGCCAGTGCTGGGGGTTGCACCCGTGGGCCAGCGCCGAAGTCCACTCTGGCGTAAGGGCACTCCCACGTTTCTGCGGCAGCTTGCGCGAGTCTCCCATACAATCTTGCCATTTTGCTGGCTCCTGCTAAGCGAAGCTACTCGACGCTGAATCAATGCCCATCGACGCTGGTCGACGGTGATTCGTCGGCGCTATACCATCGATGACCCGACCCTACTCGACGCGGGTGCACTCTAGCATCGGAATCACGAGGGTATACTTAACTCTTGTGATTTCAGCCACCGATCGGGCGTTGGCAGAACTGGGTTTAGTGGGACCTGGTTTAGTGATGTGTGCTGGGGGACGCCCACCCCGCCCGTTCAACTAACCGGAGCTGCCGTCACCCGAAAAAAAGCACCAGCTACGGCAGACCTGCTTGAGTGATTCTCATACATCTAAGGGCTCCAGGGGCCTACCACTAACCAGGCCCCCTTGCCTGTGGTCCTGGCTGTACCCGAACCGAAGCCGAGGGGAGGTGGGGGGCGGGCTGCGACCGGCGCCCGGTGGCCGGCTCGTCCGCGCCGGAATCGCCAGAGTCGTCGCCTCTGGACGCGCGAAGTGGGTACGGAGGACAGGGGTGCGATGCCCAGCAAAAGGATGTTCTCCAAAATCGGCAGCGGCCGCTGTTGGGTAGGCGGCCTTCTGTCTCAGATGGGGAACGCCGGCGGCGGCGCGGACAGCGAGGCCAGTCAAAAATGAACAGGACATGCTTTTGGACATCGTACCGACTCCATCGGCACAGTCAGAACCGATAGTAAGGATGCGCGTCAGGGATGTAAGGGCCTCAGGCGCCCATGCCTACACAACACGCGCGGGGCTGGCCATCGAAGGTGGTTGAAGACGGACCGAAGATGCCAAAGAGACAGGGATGCAAGGACACCCTTGGGAAATCAACTATCGTTACTGTCGGTTTCGGCTGTACCCATTCCTTCCGTGCCCATCTCGTTTGTGTTAGGTCGGGCTCGTCCTCCTGCGGGCGGATCTTGGAGGACAAGTGATCAAAAGAAGGTCAGCACATGCTCCAGAATAGTCAAACATATTGGAACAGATCGCCCCCGCATCATTTTGTGACTGTTTCTGGATTTTGGAAGACTAGTGATCAAAATGGTCAGAACATACTCCAGAGTAGTCAAACATATTGAAACAGATCGCCCCCACATCATTTTGTGACTGTTTCTGCATCCTCCTCCTGTAGAGGGACGTGCCCGACCTAACCTTTGCGGCGATCGCCCTCGTCGGCGCTGCTGGCGGCCGCGCCGGGCGCCGAGGGCTCGGGCGTCGCCGCCTGCCCCGTGCCCAGCGAGAGAGATGCCGAGGCCGGCGCCGAGGAGGCCGCGGGCGCAGGGAGCGAAGACGACAACGGCGACGACGGGTGCGAGGACGGTGGCGAGGAGGAGGAGGAGGAGGAGGAGGAGGAGGAGGAGGAGGAGGAGGAGGAGGAGGAGGAGGAGGAGGAGGAGGAGGGGGAGAGGAGGGGGAGGGGAGGAGGAGGAGAGGAGGAGGAGGAGGAGCAGGAGGAGGAGGAGGAGTGGGAGGTGGAGGGGGAGGAGAGGAGGGGGAGGAGGAGAGGAGGAGGAGGAGAGGAGGAGGAGGAGGAGGAGGGAGGAGAAAGAGGAGGAGTTGGAGGATGAGGAGGAGGAGAAGGAGGAGGAGGAGGAGGAGGAAGAAGACTCCGACACCAGCAATCACGACGACGAGTCGCTGAGGGAATCCGACGAGTTCACGCGGCGGAGGGCGGCGACGCCGACGAGGTCGCCTTGGCTGCGGAGGAGGAGGAGGTAGACCCAGGAGGACGTCGACACCGACGAGAGGCCGCGGCCGAGGAGGCCGAGGAGGCGACCGACGCCGAGGAGGGCGCGCTCGCATGGCGTGCTTTTACATTCGATGGCAGTTGAGGTCTGCAAAGCCACCAGCGGGGCGCTGAGGCGCAACTCGTTGTGGCAGCATGTGCGCGCGGTGGTCGGGATGTGTTTATGCGTGCGGGGTGGCGCTACCACTGACTGCACCGCCTGGTGGTCGGGAGTAGGTCCAGTGGGGAAGTTCGGCAAAGGCAGAACGCGCACTGGGGGCGTCTTTGCGTCGGGCGCCGCAAATCTTGCCGCCCGCCTGCCCTGGATGGATTGAGCAGGGACGGACCGACCAGGCATTTCTATAGGCCTACCACGACATGTTCTTAGAACCCAGAAACGATCTAAGAAGAAGAACTAGGTTCTTAGAACAGAAGCCCGATGCGTTAAAACAAGCTGTCCCGACCAGACATGTTCAAGAACATGTTGTGCAAACAACACATGGTTCTTAGAGCACTCTTTGATGGGCCTATAGGCGAGCCTGGACGCTTCGCCACTGCTTGACGGATCGAAGGGTGTGGGGAGAGCGGGGCCGCCTGGCCAGCCTCTCCTGGCGCGCGCGGGGCCGCCTTTCGGGGCAGTGGCTTCGGGCCAGGCGCTGCTGCATGTGAGATGCTCGCGCGCAAGGGCGGCCGCGGGCAGAACCAAACAGCCTCAGACAGACGCGCGCTCACAGACAAAACAAAGCGGATCTGAACGCCTGCACCCTGGTCGCGCAAACTCGAGGCGACGCGGAGGTACCGCAACGCCGCAATGCCATCGCGCGCTCGCCCTCCAGGAGGGCAGCGCAGCCGGGAAGGGACGGAAACATCTGGTGACCCTAGGCTCGGGCAGAAGGGGGACCGAGGGGGCGGGGGCAAAGGGCAACGGCCAGTGCACTGCGCGAGCACAGAAGGACCGCGGCGGCCACCTAGAACGGTCGACGCCAGACCTGCGCACTGCAGGCACATCGCGCCCGGCGGACAGGAGGGACGCTGGGGGGGGCCGAGGGGCATCGCCCGCCGGTGGGCGCACTGCGCGAACCCCCTGAACGTCACTGGCCCCGCCGTGAACTCCGCCACCGAACCGCCCTGCGCACGCCCACGAGATGGGTCACAACATTCGAACGGCCGGGGTGGGGAACGCTCGCCGGCTCTTATCTGGCGATGAATCCGGCGCGAACGGGCGCGAGTGAAAAAAGAAAACTTCAAAACACTGATTCCACCATCAGATGTACGACACCTAGCCTCTAGGGCTAAGAGGGTTCGCAGCGCCATAAAACGCTCATGGGGCCCACAGGGCTCCGATGGCCCATAGGGCTCGCGGTGCTCATACTGCCCCTAAGGCCCAGAGAGCCCGTAGGGCCTGCAAGGACCCCGTTGCCCATGCGGCTCCGTGGGCCCAGAAGCGAGGCCCGTGGTGCTCACACGGCCCACAGGGCCAGGAGAGCACTGAGGCCCTCGAGGCTCGTAGGGCCCATGGGGCTCCTAGAATTCATAGGACTCAAGGGGCCCGCAAGGCCCGCAGGGCCCACAGGGCCCCGAGCGCCCGTGGGTCTGACACGGCCGCTACGGGCCCTGGGGCCCGCCAGGCTCACTGGGCACACAAGGCCCCGAGGGCTCACAAGGGCGTGCGGGGCACCTGCCACCGGGCTTTGAGAGCCCGTAGGGCCCGCGAGGCTCATGGGTGCCCTCAGGGCTCCCAGCGCCGATAGGGCTCGCTCGGCTCACGCAGAGCCCGTCGGGCCCGCAGTGCTCAAGAGCCCCATCGGGCTCCGAGCGCACATGTGGCCCGTGGGGCTCACGCGACCCTGGGGCCCGGAGGGCCCGCGAGGCTAACAGGGACAACAAGGTCCCACGGGCCCGTGGGGCTCGTGGGAGCCGAGGGCCCACATGGCTTGTGGAGCTCAGGGTCTGCCCGCAAGGCTCGTAGGACCCGTTGGTCTCCGAGGGTTCACGAGGCTCGTGGGGCTCACGCGGCTCTCAGGGCCCGATGGCTCGTGGGCTCTCAGGGTTCATGAGGCTCGCGGGGCTCACGCGGTTCACGAGAGCCCGCAAGACTCATGAGGTCCGCAGGGCTCCAAGGCCCATATGGGTCGTGAGGCTCATACAGCCTTCAGGGCCCAGAGAGCTCGAAGGGCCCACAAGGCTCATAGGGTCCATGGGGGCCCGTAAGGCCCAGATAGCCCGCATAGTCATAGGCCCGCAAGGCTCATAGGGTCCATAGAGCTCCGGAGGCCAATAGGGCTCGTGGGGCTCGCATGGCCCCCAAGGCCCAGCGAGCCCGAAGGGCCCCTGGGGCTCCGAGGGTTCATGGGGCTCGCGGGGCTCATACGGCCCCTAAGTTCTGGAGAGCCCGTGGGGCCTGCAGGGGCCAGATTGCCCATGCGGCTTGGAAGGCCCCAAAGGGGGCTCGTGATGTGACACGGCCCATCGGGCCCGGAGAGCTCTGAGGGCCTGCAAGGCTCATATCATAGGGCCCATGGGGCTCCGAGGTCCCCCCCCGCCGCCAGCCCAGCTTGTCCTCCCCCCCCACAGCCAGCCAAGCTACTCTCCCTCCACTCCCCAGCCTGCGCGCCCCCTCCGCCCCGACCACTTTACCCTGGCACTGGCACCAGCACCGCGACCCCCCACCTCGCAGCCAGCCCAGGTCCTCCTCCTCCTCCTCCTCCTCCTCCTCGTCCTCCTCCTCCCCGTAGCCATTTGGGCTCGAGTGGGCGGAGTCAGCTTCCCCGGTTCTCTCACTCTGTACGGCACTCCGAGGCGCCCGCGCCCTCGGGACTCCGCCATGGGTCGCTCCAGCGCTCGTGGCGTCGCGGTGCGGCATGGCCACAGCGTGGCGCACTGCAGAACAGTGGAAGAGGCCGCGCGGCTTATCCAGCTGCTGGCCTCCGACAGCCCCGATGCCAGCGTCCTCGACGGGTTCGAGCAGGGCCTCAGGGGCGCTGGAGAGAAGCTGGGCCTAGGGCGCAAGGCCACTTCCGAGGAGGTGCGCCGAGCCCTGGCCAAGGCTCAGCCAGAGCTGGCGCGGCGGTGGGTGGCGATGCGAGGCGGCAGGCGCTGGGCAGCCGATCCCGACAGGGACTTGTTACAGGAGGTAATGGAGGCCCTGGACGCCCACCCTGGCACCATCGGGTCGGAGCAGGACGAGGCGAGTCAAGGCAAGCTTGAAGAGAAAGCAAACACGACGGCGCTCCTAGCCGAGAAGGTCCTCGAGCTACAGGCGGCGGACCAGCGCTACCAGAAGCTCCTGGCGGACACGTCTGAGGAGCAGCGCGCGCTGGAGCTGAAGGTCCAGATGACGGAGGACGAGGCAGCGCAGCTCTCCCACAGGTCGCACGAGCAGAGCCAGAAGATCTCGCAGCTCGAGCAGGCCCTGGCGGAGCTGCAGGAGCGCCGTGGTGCGGCGGCGGGAACCCTCTCCCCAGCGCGCAGGGCTGAGGGGCGCGCCCCGTTCGCGGAGGTCCCCGCCTTCCCACGCCTGGCTTCGGGCAGCGGCGTGCAGACGGAGGAGCTCGAGGTCGGCGTCGGGGAGGGCCAGCAGAACACCGCAGAGCACGGGCAGAGCAACGGCGATGCTCAGGGGGCGTACGGGGACCAGAAGAGCACCAAGCAGAACCAGGGCAGGCACCTGAACATAGTGAAGACGGAGGAGCGCAACGGCACCGCGATGGAGGGCGTCGGCAGCGAGTTCGACGACCAGGGCGAGACGTTGGGCGCCAACGCGGAGGAGGTGAGCACCAAGGGTGGCAAGGACGGCTCCGCGGGCAAGCACATGCAGGGGGCCGTCGGCAACCAGCAGAGCACCGTGGGGAACCAGGGCAGTCACCTGCGCACCTACGCGACGAAGCAGAGCACCAGCGACGTGCAGGAGTACCAGGCGCGGTGGGGGGCCGCACAAACAACCCCCAGCCGGCGCACGCAGAGGCGTGCGAAGAAGCCGCAGAACCCCGAGCTGATGCAGGAGCAGCAGCAAGTAGCGGACGCAGGGACGTCCAGATTCACACGTGTGGCAGTTCTCATCCTCGTGCTGGCCCGCGGCCTAATCGCCCTCGCTGTGATTGAGAATCGAGGATGGCACGTGTTTTCCGCTCCAGGGAGGTCGGCCCCTGACTGCCATTTCCACGACGGATTCGTGTGCTTGGCCGAGATCTCCGTCGACCAGGACGGCGGCGCGCATGGCTTGGGCCCAGAAGGCGAAGCGTATGAGTTCGACGATAGCTACGTCGTCGGCGACGAGATGGTGTGGCTCCTGCAGTGCACCAAGGGATCGCCGCCTTGGTACACGTACTCCGAGCCCTGCCTGGCAGCCAGCGAAGAGGAGCACGAGCCCTGGCAGCAGCCCTGAGACTGCCAGCGGAGGCTGATCCTCGCCTGCAGACAGAGAGAGGACGCGTACTGAGGCCGCAGGCCCACCAAGCCACGGGCGCGCGTTCAGCGTGCGCGGCCTGGGTGCCGAGACCTGGGGCACTCTTGCGCACACCTGAGCACGCGGGTTTAAAACTCGTCCTCCTCCTCCTCTCGCCCCCTCAGCAGCCAACCAACCTCGCCCCCACCGGCACCCCCTCCGTCACGACCATTTGATGCCGGCACGGCACGGCACCGGCACCGCGCCGCCCCCCCTTCCCCCGCCCAGCAGCCAGCTCAGCTCCTCCTCCTTGGCCCCGCAGCCAGCCCAACTCCTCGTCGACCCCCCCCAGCGCGCCCCCTCCGCCCCGACTTTGACGGCATGTGTATAAATATATACATATACATATATATATATATATATATATATATACATATACATATATATATATATATATGTATATATATATATATTATATATATGTATATATATACATATATATATATATATATATATATATATATATATATATATATGTACACACGTAGCACTCCGCAATTGCGGATAAACGGATAAGAGTAAGGGGGCGGGCGCGGGCGACGCGGGCGTCGAGCCGGCGGACCTCGTAGCCCTCACCTTCCCTGTCGATGGCGCCCTCCTGCTCCTCCTCCTCCTCCTCCTCCTCCTCCTCCTCCTCCTCCTCCTCCTGCTCCTCCTGCTCCTCCTCCTCCTCTTCCTCGTGATTTGCGTGCTCTGACAAGTTCAGCGCAGGGGGGATCGCTGGTGGGCCACCCGCGACGGATGCAAAAACAACCCGCCGCAGGCGCCGAATTTTTGGCTTGCTCAGTGAACGTAGTTTGGGTCGCGGGCTCTCCGCCTCCACCTGGAAGGAATTCAAAAACAGCCCGCCGCAGGCGCCGAAAATTTTGAGTTGTACACTGAACGCGGTTTGGGTCGCAAGTTCCCCACCTGGAACGAATGCACAAAAAAACCCGCTGCTGGCGCCGAATTTTTGGCTTGCTCAATGAACTTTGTTTGGGTCGCGGGTGGGTCGCGCGCTCTCCACCTCCACTTGGAAGGAATTCAAAAACAGCCGGCCGCAGGCGCCGAAAATGTTGATTTGTACACTGAAGGCAGTTTGGTTCGCGGGTGGGTCGCAAGTTCTCCACCTCGAGCGAATGCAAAAGAAACCCGCCGCAGGCGCCGAAAATTTTGGGTGGGTCGCGGGGTGGGTCGCGGGTGGGTCGCGGGCGCGGTTTGGGGGCGGGTGGATCGCAATTTCTCCACCTCGAACGAATGCAAAAAAAACCGCCGCAGGCGCCGAAAATTTTGGGTGGGTCGCGGGGTGGGTCGCGGGTGGGTCGCGGGTGGGTCACGGGTGGGTCGCGGGTGGGTCGCGGGGGGTGGGTCGCAAGTGGGTCGCGGGTGGGTCGCGGGTGGGTCGCGGGTTGGTCGCCGGGTGGGTCGCGGGGTGGGTCGCGGGCGGGTCGCGGGGTGGGTCGCGGGTGGGTCGCGGGTGGGTCGCCGGGTGGGTCGCGGGGTGGGTCGAGGGTGGGTCGCGGGGTGGGTCGCGGGTGGGTCGCGGGTGGGTCGCGGGGTGGGTCGCGGGTGGGTCGCGGGGCGGGTCGCGGGCGGGACGACGACAACAAACAACAAACAACAAACAACAAACAACACACAACACACAACAAACACAACAACAACACCGACGACAACAACAACAACATCAACAACAACAACAACAACAACATCAACAACAACAACAACAACAACAACAATAACAACAACCACAATAATCCGCATCGCGGAATTCCATTTTGGCCACGCACCCAGAGACAGTGAATGACCGTTCGGTTCAGCCCTCTCACTCTGATATGTGTATATACATATACACACAGAGAAAGAGATGCAAGTTTTGTGCGCGTGCGCAGCCTCTCGTGTGCTCTCCCCCCCGCTCTCCTGCTCTTCCACAGGCATTTTCTCCCAAGGCACCGCAGGGGCCCATTCTTCGGGGTCCGCGGGCCGGGCCGCCATAGCTCGCCGCGATGCGCCATGTGTACCCCTTGGAGTGCATAGTTTGAAAAGAATAAGCGCCATAAGCCATAAACGCCGAGGGGGCCCAGCGTGGATCCAAGAAATCTGCGCGGAGCGCCAAAAGTTTATGTTGACGGCGTTCTGTCTTCTTCGAATAGTGGCGACCGCTGTGGTGGCCGTCCTGGGCTGGCTGAACGCGTCGCTGGGAGTCGGCACCTGTGCCGGTTTCTCAGCCAGCGCGTCCCACGCAGACAGGCCAAGAGACGGCCATGAGCGGGAGGAGGAGGCGCCAGGCTCCGTCAGTCAGGTAGAAGGCACAGGGTGCTCCCCCAGATGAGACTAGACTTTGCAGATGCGGTTGGCCGCAACAAGACCGAACAGTTTGAAGCAGCCGAATCGAAAAACTTAGAGCAAAAAGGGTGACAATCGGTCAGGGGGCAAAAGTACCTCGAGAGTACCTCCGGCGCGCCCGGACCCGCGCAAAACGTCACTCCGCTGAAGATCCGAGGAGCCCACGCAGCTTGCGCCAGTGGCGCAGTGCCAGATTGCGCCGTCCCCAAGCATAGAAGGGCCCAGGGGCACACAAATATAAATAGAACCGCGCGAGCGCGATTCGCGCGCGCTTGTGTTCTAGCGCAGGCCAGGGCGCGTTGTTGGCTGCGCATGCTTTTCGGACCGGCTCACTCCATGCCTTGCCTTAACTCGTTCTCCAACATCACTTTTCACATCCTTCCTCGTTAACCCTCAAGTCTCTCGGTTGTCCTCGCTTTTTCGTTTCTCGTTTTTATCGACGGCCTCCCCTTGCTTGAGATTATGCGGGAAGCTGTTCAGCGCCGGCGTGGGAATATATTGAATATGAAGTGTGCTGGTTTGGAGTGTAGGGCCGCCTTGACGCCTCGAGTGCCTTGAATGCCTTGGGCCCCCCTTCGACCCTCTTGGGCTCTTCTTCGAAGCTGTGGGGCCGTCTCGACCTTCGGGGCCGTGTGAAGCTTTCCCGAAGCCATCCGAAGGAGAAGAGCGTGAGGTTCACTGCATATGTGAAAACCTGAATGGCTTTTGCGTTTGTGGCTCTCTGGGGTCCTTCGGGGGGCCTTTTGGGGAGCTCCGCTGGGGCATCTTGTGGCCCTTGGGGGCCTCCTCGAAACATCTTGGAGCGTCTTGGGCCGCCAGGGGGCCATCTTGGCGGCCAGCGGGCGTCCTCCTGAACCAGCTCGGAAGCCTCGTCAGGACGGAAGAGTCGACCAGAGGCCCAAATGCGTATCCCAGGGCCCAGGGGGGAGCCGATTGGGCTGTGACGGGGTGAGTCTGGGAAAAGTGGGCCACCCCAGGGGCAGAAATCCGGTCGTCAGTGCACAGAGCGAGGTGCAGTCATAGCGCACTGGTTGGTGCATGAATGGGCGAATTGAACACGTGGCGGAGGGTTGCGCCTCACTCGCAAAGACATCCACTATGAGAACTGATTCGTGCTCCACATGGGAGAAGCGAGTAACGCGAAGAGGAGGAGGAGGAGGAGGAGGAGGAGGAGGAGGAACGGGAGGAGGGATCTGAGAGGAGTAACTAAGGCGGGATGAAGTGTAAGGAACGTGGAAGAAGGGGGCAAACGGCCTCGTTGGATGTTCCAGCGAAGCCCTGCGAACCACGGGGGGGGACAAAGTCGAGATGGTGACGCCAAGCCGCCTATCGTTGTCATCTTTCTCCATTTCCGTCTCCTTTCCTGTTCCTCCTGCTCCTCATTGTCCTCCCCCTCCTCCTCCGCTGCTGCTACCTCTACCAGGTGCTGAGAGAAGCGTCGTGGCCGAGGTCCCAGGCCATGTTGGCCGACCTCCGGCGAAGCCGACGAACAGCAGCGTGCGTTGCACAAGGTGCATAATACGTCCGGCACTCTGCCGTAGGAGGAGTGGCCGGTTTACTGTCCTACACCCCCAGAGTCACGGTCAGGGATTTTGTCGATTAGGCGGGAGGCTCTGAATTACAGCATCGAGTGGCTCACCGTCTTCATCTTTTTGGTCGTGGGAACCGTCCTCAGCCAGAACGTCGACGTCTGTTACAGCAGGGCGAGGCATGGAGAAGCACCAAAGCATCCGTGCGTATGTGTCTTGCTTATGCCAAGGTTGGGTTCTCGAACCCAGCGCCGTCAACCTCATCCGGCGTCGTCGCTTCCTGGCGCCCCACAAGTGCGCTGCGCACGGTGAACGGGAGGAAGCGGCGGTGCTCAAGTGACCTGGGCGTGCTACGAGTCCAGAGTAACCAGCAGCGGGTAGTGCCGTAGCCATGTGTGCCACATGAGAGCGTATAGAGCGTGAGTAATCCGAGTCTCTCGAATTGAGCTGGGAGGCTGCTGCTGGGGGTGAGGAGCGTGTTGAGGACCCATGCCTTTGGGGTGTCCTCTGCGGTCGTCTATACGGTCGCGTGCTGGGCGGGCCGACGCAGGTGGTGTATTGTGTCGAGCTGCGTGCTGCTGGGTGTCTGAGATTGCGTTATGCTTCGTCCCGAACGTCGCCTTGTTCATCGGCGGGGAGCTTGGTGCGCCCTCCGCGCGTACAGTCGGGGCCCACGGGCCCACGCGCGGGGGTGCGGCCCCCTCGGGGGCACCGGGCGCTGCGGCGCCGCCGGGTGTCCTCCTGCACATCGGCGCGTTGTTCCCATGGTTCCCCTGTTATGCAGTACTTGCCCGAGGCAGTGTTCTATGACGTTTTTTGTTCGTCTCCGCGGAGACCACTATTGACCCTCAGTGCCGAAAGATCGGCCGATCTGCCGTCCCCAAAGATCTTCCGCCGTTCGACACGCCACACACGTACAACGTAACAACCCAAGACCTCATATTTAGGTCGGGCATGTCCTCCTACAGGCGGGTTTTGGAGGAAAGTTTGAAAAGAGTCGAAATGTATTCCAAACTAGTCGAACATGGGGAAAAATCGTCCGCAGACTATTCGTTGACAATTTTTGCATATTCCACCTGTAGAGGC